CCCTGGCAGCCTCATTGTTCCCATCTCAGGTTCACATGCCACCTTTTCCAGGGCACCTTCCCTTCCAGGGACCTCTTTTTACCTGATCTCTTTGGACTCTTATTTACTTTCTGAAATTATCTTGTATATCTGTGCACTTTCTTGCTTATTGTTTGCCTTCCTCCCTCTAGGTTATCAGCTCCAGAGGGCCAGGTGCCTCATTTTTTCACTGCTGTTACTCACACTAGTGCATTTATAGGCATACAATAAACATTTGTTGAATGAATTGAATAAATGCTGGTGACACGAAAAAGAAAAATAGTTATATACATGTATATGAATGTGAATGGGTCTGCAAGCATTTATCTATGCCCTGATTTACTTCACAAAAGGGTTTGAGGTGGCTATCAAGAAACCTTTGACCTTGAATCTAGGAATCATTTAACTTCTTGTGTTGTTGATACTTAGGCACTTTTTTATGCAATTGTGATCTACTTATTCAGTTACAGTAATGGGTATAGATTTTACCTTCTGGTTCTCACAGACCATATAAAATGGCTGCTTCTTTTCTTCTTGTCAAACTATAATTAACATATTGCTATAATTGCTACTTATTTATCAAATTGGGCACTATTTCAATTATTTTTTGTATCAGTAGAATATAAAACTCTAAGAACAACTAAAAACAAATTATGTACTTTATCTGGAAAAACATTAGTGAGTTTTCTTCAACTTTGAAAGTCAATATTTCTCTAATGTAAAATTTTAATTAGCAAATTTGCATCTGTCATAATTCATAACCAGTGAAGATATATAAAAAGAGAAGTCAGATTAAAATATTTAAATTATTATAGACAGCTAAGTTAGGTAGAAATATTATAAGCAGTCAGACAGGGCTGGGCCCTCAAAGGAGTCAGTGCAGAGGATGAGGACACATTACAGCTGTGGCTGGAGGCACATCAGTAGAAAGCCAGGCCTCAAGATAAAGATGGAATGACTAGGCCTCCATGCTTCCCCAAGGGATAACCAATATACTATAATTGGTATCACCTGGTCCAATAAAGTCTAGATAGACATCACCTAGATAGAGTCTAGATAGATACTCACCCAGAGGACCTGATCCATCCCTTCCTAAAAAGGTCTTTATTCTTTCCATGTATACTTGCTACATGACCTGCTTCCCCATTGGATCAATATTACCTAAGTGGCTATACTGGTAATCTTATTGGTTGATTGTAGTTTTGACCCACATTGTACCACCTCATAATTTTGTTGCCACCTTGTGATTTTGCTCAATAAAACTTCCTTTGAGGAGTGGGCTCATTGACAATCCACTTTCAGGTCCCCTCCTGTCTCTTAGGACCTATCTCTCTCAATAAATGTTTTCTACACTTAACCTCCATTGTTCCTTAGAAATCATTCTTCAATTTTGGGGAACACAAACTCAGCATATCTGACATCTAGCAGGTTGGGAGTTATATTATTTCCCCTATGTCAAAATGACATAATTGTAAAGAAGATTGCCAAATCCCAAATTGCTTGCTGTTGCCCTGAAAGAATTCCTTTTGCCATTCAGGTGGTAGGGAAGATATATATAATTGAGTTTTTTTTTCCCGTGTGTATCGAAAGGTAGCAATTTATCATCAGAAGAATTAAAAAGAGTGAGACTATCATTTGAAGTGTAGTCTAGAAAGAACCACAGTACTTTGGGTTTTAATAAGTTCCTTATGTTTTAAATTGTTTTGGTTGACTGTTTCGTCACATGTGAAATTTGGGGATTGGACCATCAAACATCAACTTCTAGCTCTGAAATTCCAGGATCGATTGATAACTTTGCCTTCTTTTCCCCATCTCTTTTGGTTGATTCACAGAATGCCAACAGGCACCCCCAAGCTAATTTAAAGGTCCTAAAATAATTTTTTGTGAGTTTAGGGAACATAGAGAACAAGTTTCCAACAGAAGAGATGATAGGCAAAGTTCTCACCTGCTGAGGATATGTAGGCACATGTCACAGTCACAGTCAATGCAGACCCAAGTCTTCCCTGTGTATTCTGGTCAGCTTTCTGGAAATCATGTTCAAAGGGTAAACATGACAGGACATGAATTTGCCTTTTTTTTGGTACCGGGGATCAAACTTGGGTCCTTGCACTTGCACAGCAGGTGGCAAAACCACTGAGCTAAATCCCCGGCCCTAATGAATTTGCCTTTTGATGCTAAAAATAATCTCCCAGTTAGAACTGACCATTTATCAGCTGATCTCAACATTCAAGCTCCATGTGGGATAGGTTGTTTTCTACTTAACCATCTGCAATGCAGTTTTTCTCAAAGTGGTCTATGAACCTCACATATTAGAATCCCCTCAATATGTGACTAAAATGTCTCAGCTCCACTCCAGACTTCATCAAAATCTAGTGGAAGAAGATGGTATTTGCAGTATTTACTGATTCTCTCAGTGATTCTTATTCATACTCAGGTTTGAAAATCACCATGTTAATGAGTTGGAATACTTCCTAACCATAGTGTATATTTATCATATTTTCTCTATCCTTCCCATTGATGGACACTTACTTAGATTGAATCCATGTCTTGGCTATTGTGGATAATGCTGCAGTTAACATGAAGTACAGATATTTCTTTGACATTTGGTATATGATGTGATATAAGTCTACTAGAGACCTCTGCAGTAGGTTCTAGTCTCCTGCCCAGTGGATGATGCAGGGTTGAAGAAAGATTCAAAGACAGAGTTAAAGAAAAAAATAGGGAGCCAGGATGACCAGTGCTGGGAAACCAGCAAAGGCCCTGGTCAGTCCCACCCACTAATTTTTATTGGTAATCAAATTGGGGTAAACGGTAACTACATTCGAGGATGTGAAATTGTGCAATTGCTATGAATACTAATGCAGGTAAGGCTTATAATGGAAAAGACAAAGCATTCTTGAACTAAGAACAGAGTAGACAAAATATAGGGTTTTAAGTAGAACCTTGTTCTTCTAGTTAGAAGGCTTTAGTTATGGGAGTGGAATTTTGGTGCAAGTTACTCTGACCTCGGCTACTATGTTATCTCGTATAGAGCCCCACAGCTTCACAGGTCATTGTTGTGGTCTCTGCTGTGTCTGTTAGCAGGAAGGTCACGCTAACCTGTGTGTTACCATGGTGCTTCTGAGCTGCTTCTATGAGTCCTATGAGCTTAGTCAGACTTGTGTCTTTTTTTTTTTTTTTTTGGTACCAGGGATCGAACTCGGGTCCTTGCGCTTGTGCAGCAGGCGGCGGAAACCACTGAGCTAAATCCCTGGCCCTCAGACTTGCTTCTTAAAATGAGCTAATTGAGGGGTTAACTCTTCACAGCCCGCACTGCTTACATCCTGCTTTGGGCATAATCAATAAGGCTTTCCCCCATAGAAGTCCACTTTCATTCGTTTGCCTGTGTATATCTAGTTTTCCCGATAGCATTTAACAGACTGTCCTTTTTCCATTATGTGTTCTTGGAGGTTTTGCTATAACTCAATTAACTACAAATATGTGTATTTCTGGGCCTTCCATTTTGTTCCATGGTCTATGAATCTGTTTTTGCCGGTAGCATGCTGTTACAATTATTATAGCTTTATAGTAGATTTTCAAATCAGATAGTGTGATGCCTCCAGCTTTGTTCTTTTTGCTCAATATTAGTTTTTAGAATCTTTAGTGGTTCTGTATGAATTTTAGAAGTTTTTTTCTATTTCTGTGAAAAATGTCTGATATTTTGATGGGAATTGCATTGAATCTGTAGATCACTTTGGCTAGTGTGGACATTTGAACAGTATTAATTCCTGTAGTCCATGAACATGGGATAACTTTCCATTTATTTGTGGCTTCAACTTCTTTCATCAATGCTTTACAGTTTTCAGGGTATAAATCTTTCAGGGTACAAATCTTTCCTCATTAGTTAAATATATTCCTAAATATTTTACTTTTTATAGCTTTGTAAATATGATTGTCTTCTTGATTGTTGCTATTATATAGAAATGTTACAAATATTTTGATTTTTTGTATTCTGCAAACTTACAGAATTTAAAAAAATTAATTCAAACAGTCATCTTTAGAGTTTCTTAAATATGAGCATTTTTTCCAAGCACAAGGGATTAAACCCAGGACCTTCACTCTAAACTGCATCCCCAACCCTTTTAAAATTTTTAGACAAGTTCTTGCTAAGCCACCATGTTGCCCAAGCTGTGCTCAAACTTGTGATCTTCCTGCCTCAGCTTCCCAGAGTGTTGGGATTACAGGCGTGTGCCGCTATGCCCAGTTAGATGAATTTTATTTCTTTTTCTTGCCTAATTGTTCTAAATAGAACATCCAGAATATGTTGGATATAAGTTGCAAGAGTGGGTAACCTTGTCTGGTTTCTGATCTCAAGGGAAAAGTTCTCAAGTTTCCACTGTAGAGTATGATACTAATTCAGTGGTGTTAAAAATATTCACATTTTGTGCAACTAGTCTCCAAATTGATTTCATCTTGCCAAACTGAAGGTCTGTACTCATTAAAGGATGGCTTCTCATTTCTCCCTCCCAAACCCCTAGTGACCAATATTTTACTTTGTTCCTATGAATTTGACTATTCTAAATACCTCATGGAATATTTTTACTGTGTCTGATTTATTTCACTTAACATAAAGTCCTCAAGGATATCCATGCATGATCCTTTCATTCCAAGGCTGAATATTCCATTGTATGTATGTACATTTTGCTTATTCCTTTATCCATGGATGGTCACTTGAATCACTCCCAGTTTTAGGCTACTATGATATTGCTGCTATGAAGATGGATGTACAAATGCCTATTTGAGTTTTGGCTTTCAATGCCCAGAAGTGGAACTGTTGTATCATATCATAATGCTATTTTTAATTTTTTGAGGTACTGCCTTACTGCTTTTCACCACAGCTATAGCATTTTACATCCTTATCAATACTGTACAAATGTTCCAGTTTCTCCAAATCCATGTCAATTTGTTACTCTTAAAGATCATTAATCTTTTATTATTTTCAGGGACCTTCACCAGCAACATGTTTTGTGGAGATAAGAGTTCTGGAATAAAGTGAATATTTGTAAGTTTCTATAGCATCTTATTTTAATTCATTTTGATATATTCATATTTCACGTGATAGTTTTGTTTATTTAAATAAAGATAGTAAAGTAGAATTCATGTGTTTTCAGCCACACATGGACTCTATAATATAGCAAGTAATGACTTACTGTATATTAAGCTAAGAATAAAAGCAGATATTTGTATGATGATTCATACAGTGATGAGAAGCTTACCATGGGTCTTCAGATGTTGGCTCTCCTGATTCTCACAATGATTCTCCACTATGCAGCCAGTCGCCTTTCCCAAATGCAATACTGACCATTTCAGCCTTAATTTATGGGTTTTTCCATTACTTCCTGATGCCCATAGCATAAAATTTAACCTCCTCAGCATGGCACATCATCCTTTCTAGCCCATCTCTAGCTGCATCTGCCTTCCACCCTGAACAAGTCTGGTTGCTGACTACCACACCACCACATACCAGTCAGTGAGTATTGATCTCTGTATCTCCCTCTGGCTAGAACACCCTTCCCAACATCACTCAAGATTTTCTGGAAAAATTACTTGTATTGTTACTAAGACTCAGCTCATGTGTCACTTTTTTCATGATAACTGTCCTATCCCTCTTCTGTGGTGTCAGGGAGATGTCCTACTCTGTATCCCACTAAGTAGAAGTAACCTCTCCTTTCTGCCCTCTGTGATCAGGACAGAGTCTTCTCACAACACCCATCAGTTCTTACTGCATCATCTTCTAGTCCTGGCTTTATTTCTAGTCTGTTGGTTCCTTAAGAGCAGAGTCTGAGTCTAGTTTAACTGTGACATCTCTCTGTGACATGTGATCAGCACTTAGTAGATGTTCAATGCATGTATATTGAATGAAGACTTGAACAAATGGATCAGTGAGTGGATGGGGAGTAGGTGAGTGGATGGCTGAATTAGATAGGACAGGAATTCCAACAAGATTAAAAGTGATTATGTGTGCTTCCCAAGATTGTATCACAGTAATTTGGGGGCTAAAACTCAAACACACAGATCTTCTAGTAGATTGCCTTTTCCTCTTTACAGAGCTGCCTTCTAAAATTAAAATGCTCTGCCTAGAGGTAAGCTCAATGGTAGAGACATGCTAACCATGCATGAGGTCCTGGATTTGATCTCCCAACACTGCAAAATAACAACAATAACAATAATTTAAATGTCAACACTTAAAGCACTGAACAAAAGGACAGTAATGCAGTTACTTGAATTATATGCTGAGCCTTTATTTGTTTTGTTTTGATACTGGGGATTGAACCTAGGGCCCTTACACTGACCTACATCTCCAGCCTATTATATCTTTTTTATTGAGACATGGTCTTGCTAAGTCACTACATTGACCAGAGTGGGATCAAACTTGTGACTGTCCTGCCTTGACCTCCCAAAGTGCTGGGATTACAGGTGTACACCACCATGCATCACCATGTGACTGCTGAGTTTTGAATAGATGGCTAAAAATAATCTGATTTCTTAACACACATAACTGGATTTCTATTTCCTTATGCTCCTACCTTGTCTCATTTATGAAATATTTCCTTAAAATTCAGCCAGGAATCCCTATAAAGTAGTTTTCTTAATGAAGTATTGATATATTAACACCGTCCATAACCAAGCTGCTACAAAAATTTTCAACTTTTCCCTTCAAAGTGTATTTCACAATGATTTCTTCCTCTTTACATTTCCCACTGCCATCTCAGTGGTTATGAAAATAGCAGGGCTTTGGATCCAGAAACATAGATCTGCATTGCTTTCTTGGAATCAGCACTCCCTAGATATGTGATCCTATCAAGTCACCTCACCTGTATGAGCCTCAATTATTTTATTTACAAAATGAGAATACTTACATTCACTCCACAACATTGCTATTAGTATGAAGGGAGATAATATAGCCCCTATATTTGGCCCATATTATGGTAGGTGGGAGAAAACATGTCGTTTCTTCCTCACGTGAATTCAACTCATTAAAAAATGCAACCTTGCATTTTTCAGAATGTAATTAGATCTATTCAAAGAGCAAGTCTTGTCTTCCAGGCAGACTGAAGCTTCTAAAGGGCAAGAATCACAATCTCACACATTCTAAATAAATACTTGCTGATTGTTAATCATTTTCATCAGATATATACTTATAAAATACTTTTCAGTTAACATTTATGGGTTATCACTATAAACCTCAAATGAAGGTAGACACAAAGGAAATAAGGTGACTTATTATGGCCTTTGCATGTTGTCATCATGCTACATCTCTATGGCTGAAGCTTAGTCAGAGAAGCAGAAATAAAACTCATTTGGCTTTTAGACTGACTCCATTCTTGATGAGCTCTGGAAGAATGAGATTTAAGATTAGATTACACAGTCCTCTCAGAGCCTACTGTCTGATACATACTGTATTTACTTTTTAGTTTGCATATATGTGATTAAAGCAACCATTTGAAATGGATATTTACATGTGTTCTCAGAGCCCCAACAACTATCAGTTTGAAGTCTAGGATGCCTGGTCTCCTTACACAAAATGAGGAGTCTCCTATTTGAGTAGTCAATAAAGAGGAGCTACATTCGGAGTTTCATGTATGTTTTCTTATTTGATCCTTACAATGATCCCATAAGTTCATTATTATCTCCATTTTATCAATCTAAACAACAGCAACAACAACAACAACAACAAATTGAGCTCCATAGGCTGAGTTTTGATCCAGTGTCCCATCAATTTAATTTGCAGATCCAAGATCCAATCCCCAAACCCCTGTCATCGGGTGGAGTAGGGATGCGCAGTGCTTTCCAGGTTCCTATTGTCTTATTCAATGAATTGATCAGGATAATTAGTGAATGTGAAAGATTACTGTTTATTTTAGGGAATAGAAAGAAAAAAAGAAAAAGAAAGGAGGCGCTTGGGAGAAAGGGGTATATTGAAGGCAAAAGAGAAGATACATCCTACAAGCAGAATGAGTGCTAAGAACAAGAGTCCTTTGCTGCCATCTTTTTGTGTCTTCTGTGATAGTTGATCCAAGTGGTCTCACTTGTTCTCACACTAGAAGATTGGCATCAGGTGCCAGGTTTGGGCGTGTTCTCATGTCAGAAGGTTGCAGGGCTTGGCTTGATCCTGTGTCAGGCTTGGGAGCTGCTACTCTGTGCCCCAGGTTAACAAATCTCTTTAACTGGCAGGTTGCGCCCAACTGCTCCAGCCATGCTGCCATGCCCCAACCTCTTACTTCACTCCTACTCTTAAAATAGTGTCAATATTTTGCAAGGAAAATCAAAAGATAAGAAAATGGAAACAAATAAGCTGGAATGATGTATGTAAACTTAAGAATGAAGTCCATTGGAGGCATGGGTAGTATAAAACATAGTAAGTAATTCATATATGTATATATATATATATGTGTGTGTGTATATATGTCAGATAAGTATATATAATTATAGCTATCTCTCTCTATATCTATCTATCTATCTATCTATCTCTCTATCTATCTATCCAGAAAAGGAATATTTTTAAAGGAAGAGAGATAGTTATAAAATTTTTTTGGGAGAACCTATATTTGCTCAGGAAAATATTTTTGAAATAAATTGTAAATTGTTAAAAAGACTAAAATATTTAAATTAATAATAGCTCTATCAGGCTAGCCAGTCTGTTTGTTACATTATCGCATACATGCACACACTGGAAAGTTCTAATATTACCCTACAAATGTTTGATTCAGAGACATTTGGGTACTGAGCTTTTGGGTGCAGGCTCCTCAATCTGACTTGCAAGTCTCTGTCTACTTTGGGCATCTACTTTCCTGAATGGACGTGAACTCTCAGTGTCAAGCAGATGTTCACCAATGTATAGTTATGGACTTTATAGCTTAAGAAAATATATGAAGATTTATCTCTTAAATTAAGGAGTGAGAATCATATCTGGGTAAAAGCAAGACACCTGCATCATGGTAACTAAGTGAGAATTTAGATCATTTGCCCACCTGAACTAGAATCTTTCTGTCCTAAAAGTCCTAAAGTCCAGGAACCCTCTTCATCTTTGCCATGAGAACAAATGTCTTGAAGCTTAGCAAAAATAAGTTATTCATGTGCATCTGGTGATATTTTAATTAGTGGTGTGACTTATCCCTTGTGCATATTTGATACTCAGCTTCATATAGATTTTATAGTATTATACTGCAGATTTCCACTTTGACTCCTAAAGTATAGATCTATTGCAACAATAAAATTAATTTTTAAAATCCTTGCTTAGGATTTGACTTTTCTGGTATTTTGCTTAATTTAATTGGTAGTTACTTTTATTGGTTAGTGATTTGGCTTCTCTTTCAATTTTAGGGCTTGGCAGAAACAGTGGGAAAGTCATGTGACCATCATTTATGCCCAATAGTAGCATGTTCTTTTCCCAGAATCAGCCCCTCCTCTTATATGCAGCACATCCCTGCTGACTGGTTAGCTTTTAACCCTTTCAGTTCCATGTTCGATACCCTGCAACATTTCCTTGGTGCATCAAGCAACTTTCTCATACTGGAAAACACAATTGAACCTGAGAAACTGTAATGTTTTTTTCATTGAACAATGTGTTCAAGATTTAGGTATTAAAGTAGTATCACATTTGTACTGAAAATTTTTCTTAATGTATTTGTTAATAATAAAAATGGGCCTGGGATGGGGATTTAGCTCAATGGTTCCACTGCATGCCTCGAAAGTGCAAGGTCCCGAGTTTGATCCCTGGTAACCCCTCCCCCTCAGAAAAGGGCCCTAAAACCGTGGTCAATATGACCTGAATAAAAACGTATACTTATTTTTACACCATACAAAGTGGCACAAGATTTTAACACTGGTAAGCTGTGTATGATGCTTTTTTGTGTTCTAAAAAATTTTCCCCCTTCTTTGGATATTTATTTTCAAAAATATTTCACTAATAGATTACTCTTTCAATCAGAAAAATAAAGTTTAAAATTCTTGTCATTCCTTTCTCTCTCTCTCTTTCCTAGGACTGGAGATTGAACCCAGAGCCTTTGCACTGAGCTACATCCACAGCCATTTTTTTATTTGTTTGTTTACAAGGTTTCACTAAGTTGCCCAGGTTGGGCTCGAACTTTCCATCCTCTTGTCTCAGCTTTCCAGAGTGCTGGGATTACAAGTGTGTGTCACCATACCAAGGTGGGTTATGCTCTGTGAGATGAATTCTGTACACAGTAAATAAAGATGAAACTGATTCTAAAGACAGCTTCACATTATGTAAGATTTGTATCTTGTATTGAAGAGTTAAAGTATCTAGATTCCTCAGTGGATGCTTGTTTGTGCCCCTATTCCACCTCCCCTCAACCCACCTCTGATTTCATTCATGTCCGGTAGCCTTGTGCCCCGACAGCATGTCACCTTCAGTGTCCACCTTGAGGGTTCTTCAGAAGAAACCCTCAGCCACAGTGAGAGTGAGATTGTGTGGATCAATGTCTCAGCTTTCCAATCTTTGGTGGAATGTTTCTCAAGTATATTCAACACAGTTCCTCAAAGGGTCCTATATTGGTTGCCTGTTGCTGGGCAACAAATTTCTTCAAATAATGGTTTAAAATATTAGGCATTTTTTAGTTCACAGTCTCTTTGAGTCAGGAAGCAGAAGTAGCCTTGCTAGGTGGCCCTGCCTTGGAATGTCTCACAAGGTGTTCATCCACGTGTCACCCAAGGCTGCAGTCATCTGAGGTATGACTGGATCTGGAGGACCGCTTCCAAACTCACATGACTGGATAGGAGGCTTCAACTGAGGAGGTGTCACCTTGCCACATGGACCCTTTCATAAGGCTCCTTATCATTGGGCTTCCCCCAGATGAAGCATCTGAAGAGAAAAGGGCTATCTTGGAGCCTGGCTGCCACAGGTCACCAGCAGGAGCAAGTCCTGGATGTCCATTAACTCATCATGTATTTTGTTATTGTCTTTTTCTTCTTCCCTGTATGACTCATTTCTACTTTCTAACCCCAATCCCACTTCCAGTGACTTGCCTAAACCTTAGCTTGACTTGGGTTTGCATTTCAGAGAAACCCAAAGTGAGAGAAACCGTGGCCCATTGTGCGAAATGTCTATCAGGATCCTCCTGGAATTTTGTTAATTCAAAAATAAATGCCAGTTATTGCATGTATTCAGCTTTTTACTTTGAAATAATTTAAAACATACACATAAATGACAGTAATATTATAAAGAATTCCCATGCCAGGCATGGTGCATACACCTGTAATCCCAGCTCTCTAGGAGGCTGAGGGAGGAGGGATGCAAGTTTGAACCTAGCATGGGAGATTTAATGAAACCCTGTCTCAGAATAAAAAATAAAAAAGGGCTCATGATATAGCTCAGTATGAAGGCCTTGAGTTTAATTTCCAGTACCACACACACCCACATACACAAACAGAACTCCCAAATACTGTACCCACATCTACCGATTCTTAGTATTTTTGCTGTATTTTTAAATTTAAATTTTTTTCGGAACCATTTGAAAGTAGGTTGTATTTACCATTCCCTGTGTATTAATCAGGGGCCTCCAGCAAAACAGTACCACTACAATATGTATGTTTGTGTGTGTGTGTGTGTGTGTATGTGTGTGTATGTATATGGAGATTTATTATTATACAGAATTGGCTTCTGGAATTATGGACACCAGAGAATCCAAACTCTGTAGTGTAGGCAACAAGTTGGAAATTTGAGAGTTGGTGGTGCAGATGAAGTCCAAAGGCCATCTGTTGGAGAATTGCTTCTTGCTCAGGGAAGTGGGTCTTTTTTTCTATTCAGTCCTTCAGTTGATTGGGGGAAGCCAGCCACATTATGGAAGACAATTGCTTACACAAAATTCATCAATTTAAATATTAATCTCATCTCCAAACACAAAGTCTGCACATAAAATTAATCACTAAAGTTCATTCTTGTCAGTCTGGAATACATATGCACCTCCTTAAACCATACTTTGAAGACAATGACAAGATGATACTTACCCCTAACATGATACATATGTGAAACCAAAAATGTACTAACTCTTTTGCTAGAAGAGCATACCAAGTCCTTGGATGATGTTTTCTCCTCTCTTTGATATCTTGGGACTTGAATACAGTCATGTAAATTTAACAGTATTTAAATCATATGATACAAAGTCAATACATCTTATGTTACATGATATGGGGAGAAGAAAGGAAGAAAACAAAGACTATATATATACACATTATATATATATACACATTATATATATATACATTTTATGTATGTATATATACATTATATATATATTATATTGGGCCAGGGATGTAGCTTGGTACTAATCCTTGGTACTAAAAAAAATTATATGTAAATATAAAATATACAAACAGAAATAAAACAAGTTTTAAAGAAAATATACATACATAGTCATAACAAAATAAGGAGGAAATACTCATGACAGTTGTAGCCCTTCTATAACTAGTTATATGTATGTGTGTATATATAATTGTGATACAGTATATCATATTTCTTTATTCATTCTTCCACTGATGGGCACCTAAATTAATTCCATGTCTTGGCCATTGTGAATAGTCTGCAGTAAACACACTAGTACAGATATCTCTTTGACATACTGAGTTCAGTTCCATAGGGTACACAGCCAGTAGTAGGGTGGCCAGATTACATGATAGTTCTACTTCTAATTTTTTTTCAGGAATCTCCCTATTGTTTTCTATAATGACTGTTCTAATGTACATTCCCGCCAACAGAGTATAACAGTTCATTTTTCTCTACATGCTTACTAGCATTTTTCATTTTTTTGTCCTTTTTTATAATAACCATTTTAACTGAGGTGATATGATATTGTGGTTTTGATTTGCATTTCCTTGATAATTAGTGATGTTGACTGTTTTTCATATTCTTGGGAGCCATTTATATGTCCTCTTCTGAGAAATGTCTATTCAAGTCATGTAACTATTTTTAAATCAGAATTTTTTCCTGATGAATATTGAGATCTTTGTATATTCTGTATATCAATCTCTTATAAGATGAATAGTTTATAAATATCTTCTCCCATTCTGTAGGTTCTTCATTCTGGTTTTTGTTGTTGTTTGTGTGTTTAATTTTTGGTTTGATGTAATCTCATTTGTAAATTTTTGCTTTTGGGGTCATATCCAGAATAAACGTTGCCTGAAGTATTTCTCCTATACAATATTGTCTTCTAGTAGTTTCACAAGTTTTAATCTTACATTTATTTTGCTGATCCATTTTGAGTTGATTTTTTAAAATCTATAGTGAGAGATGGTGCCTATTTTCTTCCTTCTGCATAAGGATATCCAGTTTTCCTAGTACCATTTATTAAAAGATTTTCCTTTCTTTGATATATTCTCTTGTCTTTGTTGAAAATCAGTTGGTTGTAAATATATGGATTTATATCTGGGTCCTGAATTCTGTTCTGTTGATCTGTGTTTTGATACCAGTGCCATACTGTTTTGGTTTCTATCAATTTATAGCACTTTTTGAGTCAAGTATTGTGATTCCTTCAGCTTTGTTCTCTTTACTTAAGATTGCCTTAGCTGTTCAGGGACTTTTTGTAGTTCTGTACAAATTTTAGGAAGAATGTTAATGTGAAGAATGTTATTGTTATTTCAATAGGAATTGGACTGAATCTATATTGCTTTGACTACTGTATTTTAACAATATTAATTCTTCCAATCCATGAACATGGAATGTCTTTCCAGTTTTTGTGTCTTCTTTAATTTCTTTCATTAATGTTTTGTAATTTTCATCATAGAGATCATTCCCTTTCATGGTTAAATTTATTCCTAAATATTTTTGGAGCTAATATAAGTGGAATTAGTATCTTGATTTCTTTCTTAGAAATTTGTTATTGATGTATAAAAAACTAATGACTTTTGTATGTTGACTTTGTATTCTGTAACCTTTCTGAATTCATTTATCAATCCCAACAGTTTCTTGGAGGAGTCTCTAGGTTTCTCTCTATATAAAAGAATGCCATCTGCAAATGGTGATAATTTAACCTTATCTTTTGGGGCTATAATATTATTTGTTGGCATTTTTTTCTTTCAGGACTTTATATCATCCCATTCTAATGGTTTATAAGGTTTCTTCCTAGAAGTCTAATGGGCATTCCTTTATGTGTGACTTAATGTTTTTCTCTTGCTATTTTTAGAATTCTCTCTTTTGTACTTTTGGCATTTTGATTCTATATCCTTGGAGAGGATTTTTTTGTTGTTGTTGAATCTGTCGGGGGTCCTATGAGCTTCCTGGATCTGGATGTTCATATCTTTCCAATGATTTTGAAAGTTTTCAGCAATTAGTTTGTTGAATAGATTTTCTATGCCTCTTCCTGTCTCTTCTTTTTATAGCATTCCTATAGTGCACAGGCTTGCTTGCTTAATGGTGTATCATAAGTCTCAAAGACTTCTTTCATTTTTTTAAAATTGTGTTTGTCTAACTTTTATTTTTAAAATACCTGCCTGTAAGCTCAGAAATTCTTTCTTCTCCCTGACTTAATCTGCTGTTGAGGCTCTCAACCATATTTTTTATTTCATTTATTGAGTTGGGGTTTTGTTTTGTTTTGTTTTGTTGGTACCAGGGATCGAACTTGGGTCCTTGCACTTGCAAGGCAGGTGGCAGAACCACTGAGCTAAATCCTTGGCCCTATTTATTGAGTTGTTAATCCCAAAGTTTCTGCTTGATTCCTTTTTATTATCTTTGCTGAATTTCTCATTCATATCATGAATTGTCTTCTTACTTTTGTTGAGTCATCTAACTGTATTTTCTTGAATCTCATTAAGTTTTCTTAAAGCTATTATTTTAATTTCATTGTCAAGTTACTTGCTGATTTCCTTTGGGGGGTATCTATTGCTGGAGAATTATTGCGTTCCTTTGGAGGCCTTATGCTATCTTGTTCTGCATCTTCTTGTGTTCCTGTCTTGGGATTTGTGCATCTGTCAGGACAGTTGCCTCTGTTTTATAGAGTGCAGCTTCTTCATCTGTAAGTAAGATTTTGTAATATGTGCAGTTGCCTCAGTCTCTTAGGTTTTAGGGGCTCTGCAGGGGTTGTACTGTTGACTGGGATACAAGCCTCTTAGATGAGGTGAGTTTGCCAGCAGCTTGGGGTATGGTGTGTCTGGCTGTGACTAGGGGGCACCCATCTGTCTTTGAAGGTCATATGGCATCAGGACCAGATTGGGTCCGGATGGGTGTAACATAGCAAGCTACACAGTGGAGTGGGGTGCTTATCAGTATCTAAGAGAAGTGCAGTGTTTAGGATGGCTATCAGTATCTAAGGTGCATTCATGGGGCCTTTGGAGGCCAACCTGCTCAGAGAAGCTGTCCAGATACTTCCCATGGCTGACAGTGGGAAGGCCTGTAGGTGGCTCATCTGCTTCTGAGAGAATTAGTGAGCTAATTTTCCTGGGATGGATTACTTACCTGCTCCTTGGGCCATAGGAGGATGGGAGGGCTCCCTAGTTGCTTCTCTGGGGCCTCAGTGAGCCAGGCAACTCAAGGAAGGTTGCTTGACTTCTTCCTAAGGTTATGGATGGGTGGACAGTGCTGCCCATTTTCTCACCAAGGCCTCTGTTCCCTGAGCTATGAAGGGCAGGTTGCCTGGCTACTTCCCATGGCTGAGGATGGTATGTGGGGTCATCTGGCTCTTTGGAGACAGGAAAAGTGGGTTGGGCTGCCTGTTTCTTGGGTCCTCTACAAGCTATTTCACTCAAACTGTTTCCAGAGGCTGTGGAGTGGGGACTAGTGAGTGAGACTATCGACCTGGTTTACAGGGTTGGGTTGGCAGAACTGCTGGGGGCAGCTGCCAGGCTGCTTTATGGTACCCTGGGTGGATGAGGTCTCAGAAGGTGTTGTGCATGATCATGGACTGAAACCTTCCAAACTGTGAACCAAAATGACCCTTTTCTCTTTATAAGTTGATTATCTCAGATATTTTATTATAATATTAGAAAACTGACTACAGAATGTCTCTACCAAATCTATTATCCATGGACTTACAGAATACCTTACCCACCACCACGGATTAGAGAGAGTAATCAAGGTGAAGATTGATGGAGAAACTAGGTCTTCTGGCTGGGCTCGAGACCCTGTGCCCATGTGTGGATAAAGTGGCCTTGTATTATTTCTCTTGTAGGAGCCCGTGCACTGT